ACAGGCTGACATTATGCCTCATCTGTCCTTACACCTTGCATCATACAGAAGACAAAACAGGCCCTTGGAACTCTCTTTTATCTAATTATCAGACCATATCACCCTGAAGGCTAAACACAGCATAGAAGCCAGGCAAGAGCCGCCAGTGTGTTATTCTGGGTGGGAACTGAAAGTAGAGCTTTTAAAGCTGTGTATTCTAAAGACACAGAAGTTATCTTTCCATTGGCTCTACAGAACAGCAAAATTGCTGCCTCCTTCCCTCTCAGCATTTAAGCTTCAAAGGCAATTACTGTGGAATAAGGTGAGATACAAGTTAATTAATACAGCTCTAAAGCATGCCACAGTATATAGGAATGTGTGACTAGACACATATGTGTATATATGTACATGTACATACATATATACATATGCATAAATACATTGCACGCATTTAATCTTCAAAATCACTATGTACCATTTAAGAATAAAAAAGCTGTAGAGATGGCTCAGCAGTTAACAGCACTGGCTGCTCTTGCAGAGCACTTCGATTCAGTTCCCATCACCTACATGGTGGCTAACAATCACCTGTAACTCCAGTTCCAGGGGATCTGGTGCCCTCTTTTGACCTCCATGAGCAATGCACACACAATTATACTTTCATGTACTTAGGCAAAACACTCATACACATAAAAATAAAAATAAATTTAAAAATTAAAAACCATCATACAATGCCAAGAGTTGTAGGTGGGTCACACCTTTAATCCCAGCACTTAGGAGACAGAAGCAGGTGGATTTCTGTGAGTTCAAAGCCTGCCTGGTGTCTATAAAAAGTTCCAGTCTAGCTAAGGCTACATAGTGAGACCTTGTCTAAAATGTGTTTGTGTGTGTTCAATGTTCGTGTTTAAAAACTGTGTGCACGATGTATGTTTGGGGGACATATGTGTCATGGTGAGCATGTGGCAGTTGGAAGACACCTTGCAGGAGTCAGTTCTGTCCTTCTGCTATGTGCATTCTGGAGATCAGACTCAGGTTGTCAGGCTTGGTGACAAGCGTCTTTACCCGCTGAGCTGTAGCCCAGCCTATGTAGTTCAGCTTTCACTGCTTTGCTTTTGTCTTAGATTTCTCCCTTCCTTCAAGAGCCCTGTTGTAATGTCTTCCTCTTTATGAGGTTGGTTTTCAATTGGCTGAAAGCTTCAGAGGTTAGTTTCTTGGCACATCAGTCTTCGAATATTTTCACTCAGGATTTATAATTTAGAGCCAGCAAGATGGCTCAGCAGGTAAAGTTGTTTGCCATACAAGTTTGACAGTCTAAGTTCAATCCTCAGAACCCGTATGGTAGGAGAGAACCAACTCCCAAAAGTTGTCCTTTGACCTCCATAAGTGCATTGTGTCATGTGTGTGCCCACATTCACACAGACAGACAGACAGACAGACAGACAGACAGACACACACACACACACACACACACACACACACACACACGATGGAAACAGCCAGATGTCTAAAGACCAAGGAATAAAATAGAAAAAATGTGACATATAATGGAATATTATTCAGCCTTAAAAAGAAAATTTTGTCATCACACGTACAACATGCTAATATGGGGCAGTCAGAGGACAACTTGCAGGAGGTAGTTCTCGCCTTCTTAGATATGGGTCTCAGCCAGGCATGGTGGTGCACGCTTTTAATCCCAGCACTTGGGAGGCAGAGGCAGGTGGATCTCTGTGAGTTCAAGGCCAGCCTGGTCTACATAGTGAGTTCCAGGACAGCTGGGGCTACAGGGAGACCCTGTCTCAAAAGGCCAAAAAAAAAAAAAAAAAAAAAAAGGCAAAATCTAATCACAATAACTTATTTTGTTTACTTATTTAGACATAATTAAGAGTTATATGGATAGAGAGATGTCTCAGCGGGCAGAAGCACTTCTGTGCAAGCCTGATGACCGGAGTTCAATCCCAGGAACCCACAGTGGAAGGAAGAAAAGAACCAACCTGCAAATGTTATCTTCTGACCGCTACATGAGCACCATAGCACATTTGCGTGTGTGCACATGTGCACGCGCACACACACACACCACACACACACCCCCCAAAAACTTCAAATTGAGCCAGGGAAGGTGCTCCACCTTCCTTACTCTGGAGGCTGAGGCAGGATTATCCTAAATTCATACATGGTCTGCAGGGGCTTTTTGAAGTCAGTTTGGGCAACTTAAGAATATTTTAAAATAAAGGCAAACAAGGGGTGGGAGAATATCTCAGTGGCAAAATGAAGCCATGTGTTCAATTCCAGCACAGATTTTTTTTTAAGTCAAAAATTAGATTTAAAAAATCAATGAAATTAATAAGAGCCTTTTCGTGAGTGTGTGAGACAAGTCCTCCTCAATATGGTAGCACTGGCTGGCCTGGAACTTGATACGGAGACCAGGCTGGCCTCAAACTCACAGAGCTCAGCCTGCCTCTGCCTCCCCTGTGCTGGGATTAAAGGCATGTGCCACCATGTCTGGCTAAAAAGAAATCTTTAAATTGAAAATCATTTTTTGGACCAGATACGGTAGGGGATGCCTTTAATCCCAGCACTAAGGAAAGACAGAGGCTGAGGAATCTCTTTGAGTTCAAGGCCAGCCTGGTCTACAAAGCATATTCCAGGCCAGCCAGGACTACATAGTGGGCCCTGTCTCACACCAAAAAAATTTTTTGTAATTATTTTTATGAGTATTTTGTTTGCTATATAAGTACGCTACGCTACATGTATGTAATGCCTGTGAAGGCTAGAAGAGGGCTTTAGATCTCTGGGACCTGGGGTTACAGATGGTTGTCAGCCACCACCTGGGTGCTGGGAACTAAACCCAGGTCCTCCACAAGAACAGTCACTGCTCTTAACTGCTAAACCCTCTCTAGCTCCAAAAACCATTTTTACACGATGTATATACATCTTAAATTATCAAGGATCCATTCATCTGTGCTGCTAGGCAAGCACTCTTCCACTGAGTCACATACCCAGCCCTGGAACACTTTGCTCTAATTAAGTATGGAAGCAGATATGGCGTGTCCTTAGGAAGTCTCCTTTCTGGTTTCATGTGGTCAGTGTCATCACCTTAGCCACACGGTAGCTGGTAGCTTGAGCAAAAGTTTGCAGATTACTAGTTCATCCCAAATCTTCTTAGGACTTCATTCTTCTAATGAAGAATTCACTAATGAATTAATTCACTCACTTTTTACTCTTAAGGATGGACTTCAGGACCCTGGACATGCTAGGCAAGCATACTATATGGACCCTAAAACAGAAACCTGAACATATTTTTTTCTTAGTGCTGAGGATGAAACCCAGGGTCTCATAAACCGTGCAAGTACTGTTATTGAGCTTACAAAGCAGCCTGATTGGTTTCATTTTGCTTTATGAATTGGGGTCTGCTCTTGCATAGCCTGTCTGCAACTAGTGGGCTCATGCAATCGTCTCAGCCTCTTGAGTGGCTGTTTGAGTGCAGGTGTGTGCGACGTGCCTGGCTGTCAGCTGTTTTTTGAAATTTGCACTCCTGCATCTTTGAGGGCTTTTTTTTCTCACTGCAGTAGACTCCTAAGGAATTCCCTCATTGGGCTTCTTCGCCCATGGAGAGATCTTAAGTGTTTTGAGAAGGTTTCAGGTATGTTTTTATGCGTCTTAGTTTTCTTGTGTTGTCCTGGGTGTTGGACCCGGCCAGAGAATAGCTTTCTCATAACCCTGGGATGAATTCCTGCCTCCCAGGCAGCTCATGGCTTCACACATTGTCATCAGTCTGCCATCTGGGTCTGTTTTGGGACCTTCTGGAATCTCTTCTAAAAACAAGTATTTCTTCTCTGTGAAATGTGTGTTACTAATGGTGGTAATAGCATGAGGGTAATGTCTGGTGAATACAGAGCACCACAAATACTTTTTCTTGTTGTTTTATTTTTTGGTGGTGGGTGCTGGTCCACACCTTGAACATGATAGGCAAGCACTGAACTACACATCCCCAAAACTAATATTATATATATATATATATATTCCTCGAACTCAGAGATCAGCCTGCCTCTGCCTCCTGAGTGCTGGGACTAAAGGTGTGCACTACCACGCCCAGCCTATATTATTCTTTTATCTACTATTTCTATGTTTTTTTGCAGAGAGAATTTCAGTATTTCAATCCTAATTCATGACTTGGATGTTTGGAGCATGTTTATGTAGATCACAGTGTGCTTTTCAGATGATCTTATCACACACAGACACATACAGACATATGCACGCATACACATACACAGACAGAAAGACACACACACACACACACACACACACACACACACACACACACACACACACACACACATAAATGTCCAGGCTCCAGAGTGATCTCCTGCCTCAGTCTTCCCAGTAGCTAGACTACAGGTGCATGCATGCTACCTTGCCCAGCTGGTGACTGTATTACATGTATTTGTTTGGGTGGCAACTCTCCTGCACTGTCCTTATGTAACTGTACCTCCCTAGAGCCACATAAAGGAAATTTATCTAGAAAAATGTGTACACTTACAAATATATAAATTTTAGTTAAATATGGCAAAGGGATATTGGTTACCACTTTTCCTTTTATGTTCAAAACAGAACAGGCTGGGTGTATCAGCACACACCTGGAGTCCCAGCACTTCGAAGGTTGAGACAGGAGGATTGAGAGTTCATGGCCAGCCTGTGCTAGAGTATTTTAGGATTTACTTATTTAATTTTATGTGTGTGTCTGAGTGTGTGTATGTGCACCATGTATGTGTAGGCATATTCAGAGGCCAGAAGCAGATGCCAGATCCCCTGTAGCCATAGATGCAGAAATCTGTGAACATCTTGATGTAGGTGCTGGGAACCAAACCCGAGTTCTCTGCAAGAGCAGCCAAGTGCTCTTAACTACAGAGCTACCTCTCCATAGGTTAGAGAGTTCTACATAGTGAGACACTTCCCCCCACCAAAAAACGCTAGAAAAAATAAAACATCCCAAACAACAACAACAAAAAATCCCAAAACATTTCAACTTTAAATTCCGAAAATCTCATTTTTATTGATTTAAAAGCATGACTATTCATGAATACACAGATGAAAATACATTAAAAATATTCTTGTGACTTAATATGGTTTATATAAAAGTTTGAGTTCGCCAGTTGTGGAGGTGCATGCCTTTAGTCCCGGCACTCAGGAGGCAAAAGCTGGCGGACCTCTGTGAGTTCAAGGTCAGCCTGGTATACATAGTGAGTTTCAGGCCAAGTGGGGCTACAGGGAGACCCTGTCTCAAAAAGACTGAAAAAAAAGCATATGCCCCCACACCTGACCAAAGTTTTTAAAATTTAGAGTCTTTGAAAAACAAACCAAAACTAAAACTTTTCCTCAACTCTCAATTCCACCACAAAAATCCTAGTGCAGCCGGGTATGGTAGTACACACCTTTAGTCCCCGAACTTGGGAGGCACAGGCAAGCAGATCTCTATGAATTTAAGGCTAGCCTGGTCTACAGAGACAGTACAGGCTAGCCAGGCTATACAGTGAGACCCTGTCTCAAAAAACAAAAAAACAAAAACAAAAACCCCTAGTGCAATGGGTGGTGGGTGTGCGCTGACCAGGTGCTGTACTGTCTGTAAGAGGTCTGGCTTTCATTTACTTAATCAATGAGGCTGGAAACATGGGAGATAACCAGTGTCACCTGCATCCCCCAGTGTCACCTGCCCCTCCGTGGAGGCTTTATGTAGGTAGATGTTTGCCTTTTAATGTTTAAAGGCTTCTTCCTGCCCCATCCCCCAATCAGTCAAGCTTACATGAGAACATAGGAAATACAGAAAAGTCTGGAAAAGAAAGCAGAAAACACCTGTCCTGTAACCACATAGACATATCCACTGGCAGTGTTAGTGTGTTTATTCCCCATCTTCTAAGCATACAAAAAAGTAAACTTACATATGTGCACACAAAAGTGGTTAGCTGCTTACAGAACTTGACCTTCTAGGTTTTTTCCTGCTGAATGAAACTTGAGTTGTTCTCCCTTCCCTTTATGCATTCCTCCCTTCCACTGATTGACTTTTTCTGAGACAGGGTCTCCCAATGTAGCTCAGGCTGGCCTCCTGCCTCCATCTCCCAGTGTTAGGATTACAGGCATGCGCCATCAGACTTGGCCTCCTTCCTCTCCCTTCTTATAATTTAATTGCCAAAATTTTCTTGAATGGATGTACCATACTATAAAATATTAACAATGGTATTAATAATTTTATAACTTTTGGAGTTTTTCTTATAAAACTAAGTGCTATGAAATTTAAAAGGTCTATCACATTTTTGACAACTGATGCCCCTCAGCATGCAGTTCAACAGATTGTGTTTTCATAACCCCTCAATGGCTATGAAGAGCCGCAGCAAGGGACATAGGCATGCGGCTGTGACACCTCGAATTTTGGTTTGCATTTCAAGGGCCCCTGAGTAAGTGGCAGATTCCACATTAAGTCACACATGGATAACTGAAGGTCTGCTTGCGAAGTTCACGTGCTGAACTCCTACAAGCTGTAAAACAGAGTTTATGGGCTTGTGATCCAACCTATTCCTATCGTGATGTACAAAGTGGATGTTGTTACCTAGAAGAGAGCAAGGACAAAGGCTGAGGATTGCACCGTAATTATTGTCAGATTTACTGCTTAGCAGGATCAAGGAAGTGCTTCAACTTTTAATTAGTCCAAAGGGAAAAATTAATTATCCGGAGTCCATTATATTCTCTATATAATGCCATCCTAACTCTGTATTACGGTGATAAAGCATGACAGGGGTCTGGTTAAGTAAGCGTATTACTTAATGCTTTACGAGCTCCAAGGGGAAAGTTTCTTAAATTATACCCTTCTGTTCATTTTCATTAAATAATTAAAGCATCCTGTCAGGCAGGCAATACGTTAACTAACATAGATAACAGGCTGGAAAATCACATTTGTTTCCTAAGCATATGCAATCACAGTATAAATCACTTCAGAAACTTCCCTCCTGGGGCTGGGGTTGCAGCGCAGCGGTGAAGTGCTTGCCCAGCCCAGCACTCCTGAGGATCTGGGTTTATCCCCTGCATCACTAAAATATAAAAGAAAAATACTGATTTCATAGGATGTTTTCAAACTATAACCTAAGAGATTAAAAGATAAGGCAGTAAGACAATCAATTACAATACATGTCATTCCATGAGCACTTCATTCTTAAGCCACCAAAGATGTGGTCAAGTGACTCAGCAGCATGGAGATGAGGCACTCAAACAAAACAAAATAACCCTTTCAGGATTCAGGATGGAAATCAGTTATTTAAAAATGTGGCTCTGGGGCCTGGGGGTGTGGTTCAGTGACAAGGGCAGTGTGCACAAGGCACTGGGCTCAGTACCCAGTACCACAGAGAAAGAAAAACATAGACTGGTGAAATGGCTCAGCTGGTAAAGGCACTTGCCACCAAGCCTGACAGTCTGAGTTTGATTCCATATCATGGAAGGGGAGGACAGATTCCTACAAGTTGTCCTCTTTGACACGTGTGCATCACCCCCCCAGCAACACATGCGCGTGCACACACACACACACACACACACACACAGATACACTAAAGTGTTTAAAAAAAAATCTTAAAAATTAAAAAGCTGGTTGTATTGGGGCTGGAGAGATGGCTCAGTGGTTAAGAGCACTGGCTGCTCTTGTAGAGGACCTGGATTCAGTTCCTAGCACCTACATGGCAGCTAACCATAGTCTGTAACTCTAGTTCCAAGGTATTGGATGCTCTCTTCTGGCCTCCACAGGCACTGCACACATGGTGCACTTAAATATGTATAAGCAAAACACTCATACACAGAAAATAAAAAAAAGTTAAAACAGCTATTTGGGGTGGAGCCTGCCTTTAAACCCTAGCCCTCAGGAGGTAGATAAAAGTACAGTTCTGGGTATAGCATGGACACTCAACATGAATGAGGCCCTGACTCAATCCCAGGAACAAAACCAGGCTCTTAAGTGGTTCAATGGCATTCTAAGCAAATTTATAAGACCCATAAAACAGGCTAAAATAGATAAATACTTATCTGTTCATGGGGACTGAGCCAGGCAGCATGTATCTGCCACTCCATCCCCAAAGGGTTTCTTTTTAAACTAATCTGCTGCTACAAGTGTGCCTGCCGAAACCCCACCCCCTACAAAAGCCTTTCCTTAGCCAGGTGAGGTGGCATATGTCTTTAATTTCAGCACTCAGGAGGCTGAGGCAAATGATCTGTGAGAGTGAAGCCAGCCTGGTCTACATAGCAAGTTCTGGGCCAGTTGGGGCTATAGGGAGACCCTGTCTGAAACAACAAAAACAACAAAAAAGCCTTTCTTTAAACAGCCTGGGATTTATAAAAGTGTTATTTTATTACTCTTGGAAGACATGCTCCCTAGCAGGTACAATTTTCAAAAGACGTAAGAACAAAGAACAATCAGCCTGCAGCACAGTGTCTGGTCTCTTACTGCAGGACTCGCATGGGGAAACTGCCAGCTTTCTGTACTTCCCAGTGTGTGTGTAGCCAGAGGCATCTGGCAATTCTCATGAAATGGGCTGTCCCTGGCACTGACTTGCTCTGACACTGGGAGGGTCTCTTGGTTTTGTTAGGAAAAATAAAATGAGATTCCTTCATTCACAAAAAGAACATGCTAGGTGATTCTCATGGTTAATTTTTTGTTTCTTCTTCTAGACAGGGTCTCACTATGTAGCCTTGGCTGTCCTGGAACTCACTATGTAAACGAGGTTGGCTTTGCTCTCATAGAGATCTGCCTGCCTCTGCCTCCCAAGTGCTGGGATTAAAGATGTGCACCACCACACCCAGTTGATTTACTGATTTTAATTTTATGTGTATGAGTTTTTTACCTACATGTATGTAAGTACGCCCATGTGTAAAATGCCCCTGGAGATCAGAAGAGGGTGTCAGATCCCCTGGAACTGGAGTTATAGATGATTATTAGCCTTTATGAGGGTGCTGGAAACCAAACCTAGGTCCTCTGAAAGAGCAGGCAGCCAGTGCTCTCAACTGCTGAGTCACCTCTCCAGCCCCCTGAAATTTTTTTATAAGGTTTGTTTTAAGGGGCTGGAGAGATGGCTCAGAGGTTAGGAGCACTGGCTAGCCTGTTCTTCCAGAGGCCCTGGGTTCGGCTAACAACCATTCTTAACTCCAGTTCCATGCGGGCAAAACACTCATACACATAAAAATAAATAAGTAAAAGATTTAGTCCCTGGGCAGGGTGGCACACACCTTTAATCCTAGTACTTTTGAAGCAGAGAAAGGTGTACTTCTGTGTTCTCTGTGATTTCAAGTCCAGCCTGGTCTAAACAGTGAATCCAAGGCCAGCCAGGGCTACACAGTGAAACCCTTTCTCAAAGCAAAACAAAACAAAACACTTTTAAAAAGATTTATTTTTAATTATGTGTATGGGGGTGGGAGGGCTTTGTGCTTTCAGTCCAGGTGCCCCTGAAGGCCAGAAGATGGAGTTGAATCTCCTACAGTTGGAGTTATAGGTGGTTGTAAGCCTCTTCATGGGAAGGCTGGGAACTGAACCTCGGTCCTCTGCAAGTGCAGTATGTGCTCATAACTATTGTGCCATCTGTCTACCCCCACTGAATGTTTTAAACAGTGTAACTGTCATAGCAATCAGCAGCTCACAGCATACTTTCCATGTCCAAATCCCTGCCCTCAGACACCAAAGATAGGGACACTCATCAAACATAGACATCAATATACGAAGTCTCAGAAAATAAAAGATGCCCTTACCAAAGCATGCCACATTATTAGGCTAAGCTTCCCACTTTCAGATAGTTGTCTATCACATGAAGAAAGTGGGTGATTTTTAGACCGTAGAGGGTACTAGAACGTTACCTGCCCTTGATGCTCACCTGGACCTAAAATGAAGGTTCCACCTTGCTGAGCTGGGTCTCCTTGGAAATCAAAAAGAGGGCCAGTGACTGCCCGCCATAGGCTCTGAAGGCTTCCCGAGAGCAGGTTGGACTTTATGTGGGAATATTTAAAAAATATTTTATTTATTATTTTTATTTTTTATGTGTTATGCTTGCATGTAGGTAAGTGCACCCATGTTGTCCAATGCCTGCAGAGGACAGAGAGGCTGTTGGATCCCCTGGAACTGGAGTTATGAACAGTTGTTAGCTGCCATGTGGGTGCTGGGATTCAAACCTGGGTCTTCTGCAAGAACAGTCAGTGTTCCTAACCGCTGAGCCATTTCTCCAGCCCCTAAAACATTTTTTTAAATTTTACTTTATTTAAAATTATGTGTATATGTGTGTCTGTGCAAGTGAGTGCATGTGCCCATAGAGGGCAGAAGAGGGCATCAGATCCCTTGGAACTGGAGTTGCAGGCAGTTGTGAGCCGGCTGATGTGGGTACTGGGAACTGAACTCAGGTCCTCTTAGCTGCTGAGCCATCTCTCCAGCCCCCCAAATGTCCTTTATTGTGCTCCATCTTCCTTTCCTTACTCTTTGATGTGTAGTATAACACTAAGCTTTCTACTTAACTTTTTTTCTGCCTTCAAACAACCTGTTGTCTAGCCCTATGTAAGGCATCAGCAACATCCTTGCCCTCTACACCCACTAAACGCTGCCAGTAACACTGTTCACTGTCTGACAACTGAAGCCATCTCCAGCCTTGGACAAATGTGCTGGGGTGGGGAGGTTCAGGGGGAGAGTAACATCACAGTTGAGAATACTGCCTTTAGGAAAAAAGTGATGATGGTCCTGGGCTGTCAATGACAGTCTCAGATTACTGCTGCTTCCATTTTAACTTTCCCTTCATAGTCTGCTTGATCCCTCACCTGCTAATAGGAAGCCACACCCTCTTTCAGGACACACTGTGGCAGAAACTGTTAAATGGTGGTCAATGCTTGCTTTTCCTAATTCTGAACCCATAACTAAACCTCTATTTTCCAGTTTCCCTCAGTAGGTGTGGCAATGTTCTAACCAGTGAGTGAAGGGGTCACTTCCAGATCAAGCTCCTGGAACTTCCCATAGACGATTCTCTACATCTTTGGCAAGCTTGGATGGAAATGACAGAGCCACAGGAGGGAAGGAGCCTGGGTCTCAGAAGCATGGCTGATGCCTATCTACTTTCTGTTTTCACAGTGACTGACAGACACTTGAGCTTGGCACCAGACCAGTGTTTCCGACTTCAGTTCAACTCAGAGTCTACCTGAAGATAATGTCAGATTCCACAGATAGGGCTAAGCCCCAAGACTGGCGTCCACCACAATTCAGAGGCTAGTCACAAGCCCTGGGCACCCATGACTGGCTATAAATTGGGATTCCTATAAACTCCTCCTGGGGTCCAATTACTTTCCTTGAGTTACTCACAGAATTTAAGCACATAGTTTGTGATGGTTGGTTTGGTTTAATTGTCAACTTGACACTCTAGAATCGCCTGGAGAGGCTCAATGAGGGAGTCTAGATTAGTCTGGCCTGTGGGCATGGCTGCAGAGGATTAGTGGGAAGACCCAGCCACTGTGGGTGGCACCATTCCCTGGGCAGGGGATTCTGGCTTACATGAGTGGAGAAAGGAAGCTCAGCACTGGCATGCATGCATTACATTGCTCTCTTCTTGACTGTTGATATGACGGGAACAGCTGCTTCCAGTTCCTGTGATCTGGAACCCTGACCTGGAACTGTGAGCAAATAAACCTTTTCTCCTTCAAGTTGCTTTTGTCAGGGTTTTATTTTTTTTCAAATTACAGCAACAAGAAATGAAACTAAGACAGAGTCATTTAACATTAGCAGTTTATGGTAAAAAACATTTCAAAGGATACAGATAAAGCCCTGCATGGAGTAAGGCAAGGGGAGGGGCACAGAGCTCACGCGCCCTCTTTGGGTGTGCCACCCTCCAGTCACCCGTCCGGAGGCTCTAGGCCTTGCCCTTTGGTTTTATGGAGATTTCACTGCATGTGCACAAACAACCACACAGACATGTGACAGGATAAGAAGTCTCGAAAGAGTGGGGGAAACCCAGTGAGGTCTGCTACTCAGATCCCCTCAGCCTCTCCGTACATCCTGCCTTCCTAATGGGTATGGATGGGGCAAGACTCCTGAAATGGGGTCTTCTGATACGCTACCAAATAATGTAGGTCAGAGAACGACCTTAAAGTCAGCTACACAACCAAGACTGTTTAGTTTCTATGACCTGCTCCCTTGGGGAGGGAATCATGACAAGGAACTGCAGAGGAAAAGCAGGCTGTACCTATCAGAATGCCACAATGGCCATGCTACCTTTGCCCTGCTGGGATTTCAAACATCACTTCCCTTCTCTCCAACTCTTTTGTGTGTGTACTATGATCAACACTCATCTCACCACTAAAAACGCAAGCTCAGGGCCGGAGAGATGGCTCAGCAGTTAAGAACACTTGTTCTACCAGAGGACCCGGGTTTGATTCCCAGGACCCACATGGTGGCTAACAACCATCCATAACTCTGGGTCCAGGGGATCCAACACCCCCTTCTGGTCTCTGTGGACACTGTATGCACATGGTACACTTTCATACATGCAAGCAATATACTCACACACATAAACTAAGATAAAATAAATAAATAAAATATTTAAAAAACAGGCTCACTAACAAATACACAAGATCAAATTGCAGTTTTATGGAAATCTGTACTTAAAATTAGTGTTCAGAAATCCATATTAGCACCTTAAGTCTAAAGAAAAGGTTAGTATGTCAGAAATCCAATTAAAGGAGATGTCAGACCCAGAACTGAGCAATCTGATGTCACACACAGCCTCATCTCACCAGCTTGGATCTAGTTCTTATGTGTAAAATTCCTGCTTCTCAGATTTGTACACAGCAATTGTTCCCTTCCATTTACTGGCTATACTTTCAAATTCTTTTGCTTTATAAAACAGGCATCATTATTAATTTTCTCTTTTTGTTTTATAGTACTGGGGAACTGAACCCATGGCCATGTACCTAACATTAGACAAGTCAACTACTCACGAGTTCCATCTACCATCTATAACTTCTGTACTATTAATAATCCTAATGACTATCCTAAAAATCTTAGAGTACTGATTTACAAGAAAGAATCTTTAAAAAGTAGTTTATGACAATCTAGGGCTGGAGAGACATCTCAGCGGTTAAGAACACTGATTATTCTTGCAGAAGACCCGGGTTTGAATCCTAGCACCCACATGGCAGCTAACAACTGTCTGTAACTAGAGTCCCAGGGCATAGTCGGACAATCAAATAATTTTTGTTTTTTCAAAAATATTTATTATTTATTCTGTATTGTGTGTGCATCATGGTACATGTGTGGAGGGTAGAGGACAACTTGTGGGAATCAGCTCTCTCCTTCTACCACGTGGGTTTCAGGAATTAAGAAACTCAGATTGTAAGGCAGGGTCACAAGTGCCTTTACCCACAGAGCTATCTCTCTGGCCCAAAATCCAATATTTTCTGTTTGGTAATATAGTACTTTAATACTCCAAAAATACATATAATACTATACAATTATGTATAGGTATTATATATAGTACATAGCGATATATCTCATATTTGTACATTATAGCTTATATGATTCAGTATATGTATATATATTTGTGTATCACATTTGTTATTTAAATACAGTTATGTAAAACTATACTTAATGTATATGCTATATAAAGTACATTTAAATTAAAGGCGTTTAAGAGATTTGCATATTCTCTCTCTTAATTATAAGGATGCATTTATCTGGAATTCACGTGTTTTCTTTGCATTCCATATATTAGTTGTGACAACAAATGAGGTGTTACTTAGTGAAACTCACAGTTTATATCTAAAGTGTTAAATGACAAACAAATCTTAAACATGCTGAGATCATTACAGCACATAAAAACAGTGAACCAAAATACAAGGCCTGCGATCTGAACTGCTGATATTTCCTACTCCAGGGAGAGGAGAAAATTCAATACCAGGCATCACCAGTTTTAACTATGTTTAGGTTGAATTCTTTAAATCCATCAGCAAGCCTGGGCCAGGTGTTACTCGCCTTTAATCCCAGCACTCAGGAGGCTGAGGTAGGCAGAGGTCTGTGAGTTTGGGGTTAGCCTGGTTTACATAGCAAGTCTAGGTTAGCCATTGATACACAGTGACACCCTGTCTCAAAAATAAATAAATAAATAAATAATAAAATAAATAATAAAGTAAAACAACCAATAAAGGATCATGGCAATCCACCTCCAGCAGCTCCCATCCCCATCTCCAGGAAGGCTTCCCAGTCCCTCCTGGTGGGTAACGACAGCTTTGTCACGGCCATTGGCTCTGGTTTGGCCAAGTTTCCTCTTCCACAAGGGTAATGTGACTGTTCCACTTTGCTGCCACTTCAGGACTCTTCCAGGATAAATCTGAACTCCAGTCACCCCAAACTCAGTGTGAACCAGCCCCATCTATTCAGCTGTTCACACTAGTTCTCAAACATGGCACCTGGGCTTCAGCCACAGGTAGGCACCTGTCCTTTGTCTTAGAGTGCCCTTCCCCACCCTCACTGCACCAGTAACTTCTTTCACAGTGAGCTTCTTTCACAGGGACTTCACTCTGGAGCCAACTGCTTCCAGGCCTTCTGCCTTGCATTTCTGACACAGGTGGGTGTTCCTACCTCATCTCCTTGATCACAGGCCTTTAAGCTATGCCCAACTCTCTGGAAGGCAGGAGCTGTCCTTTATAGCCCCTTGCCCCAGGAAGCATTCATCACAGTGGTATAACAGGTAAATGCTCAGTAACTGTTGAGAATGACTGACTTGAGTCTAAAAACTCCAGCAACAATAACCAAGTTAGCTAAAGTTTGCTAAGATCTACTAATCACATTGGAGTTGTGGTGCAAGAATAGGGAATGTGGATCTGAATTGTAAGCAGGGAATGTAGACAATAGAGAGTTGAGTAAATAACAACTCTTCAACTAATGATCAGCACTACCAGCAACTTTAAGAGCAGTAAGAGGGTAACAGTGAAGTACCAGAGGTTGTTAAAGTCCAAGGAGGAAAACAATGCCTGCAGTGTGAATTGTTATTAGGAGCCTCTTCGGTCTGGGCTTCAAAGCAGGATTTCTTGACATGCAGTATCTGACACCATGGTGTTCAGACACAAAAGCATGCGAACTAAATATATTCTTACATTGATAACAGAAGTGAAATGTCCTCATAAAAAGTATGAAAGTCGGAGGGACAGGGACTAGAGAGATGGCTCAGCTGTAAAAGCACTGGCTGTACTTGCAGAGGACCTGGGTTTGATTCCTAGTACCCACATGGTGGCTAACAACCATGCATAACTCCAGTTCCTGGGGGCGGGGGGTTAATGCCCTCTTCCGTCCTCCATGGGCACTACACGACATGGGAGCACTTACTTGGATGCAGGCAATACACTCATACACATAAATAAAAATAATATATATTTTTTTAAATTACAGGGGGCTGGAGAGATGGCTCAGCAGTTAAGTGCACTGACTGCTCTTTGCAGAGGACCTGGGTTTGATTCTCAGCATCCACATGGCGGCTTAACAACTGTCCGTGACTTCAGTTTCAGGGGATCTGATGCCCTCTTCTGACCTCTGCAGGCATTGCATGGGTGTACTTACATCTAGATAATATACTCATACACATAAAATAAAAAAATAATTTTTTTTAAGAAAGTACAAAAGTCAGGCTGGGGTACGGCTTAGTGGTATATTTTCACCAGGCATATGCAAGGGTCTGGCTTAGTGGTATATTTTCGCCAGGCATATGCAAGGCTCTGGGTTTAATACACAGTACCACTCCCTCAAAAGGCCAATTTTACATCTTTGAAGTAAATACTACAGTAACTTTTTCATTAGATACACACATATACACACTAGAGGTCTTTAAGAAAATTGTTCTAGTTCTCACAAAAATTGATATACACTGAGAACACTTTTCTGCCACTTGCTCTTGTTCATTAAATAGGACTTTGCCAGCACCTTCCCAAGTCATGCTATGGTTTAGAAGTGTCTCAAAGAAGCAGTAGACTGCTATAGACACAGCTCAACATGCCACATTGCTGTGAGATTAGAACACCAGTCTGCCAAGAGAAATGCAGACACCGAGGGCCTAGCTCATTGGGTTTAGAGGGGAAGAAGGGCTTGCCTGGGGAACTGGGCTACAGGCCATCAGTGTTATGTTCTGACAAAGAATATGGCCACCTTCTGCCCATGTCCTGAATATCTGAATGAGGCTGAATTAGAAGGTAACAAACTAAGTTGTTTGGTAGAGGAAATTTCATGTCAGTGGACCATCTAGGCTATGGCATGGTCCCTGTTCACTACTTTTTGTCAGCTCTATAGGAATGAGATTAGAACACCAATCTGCCAAGAGAAATGCAGACACCGAGGGCATAGCTCATTGGGTTTAGAGGGGAAGAAGGGCTTGCCTGGGGAACTGGGCTACAGGCCATCAGTGTTATGTTCTGACAAAGAATCTGGCCACCTTCTCCCCATGTCCTGAATATCTGAATGAGGCTGAATTAGAAGGTAACAAACTAAGTTGTTTGGTAGAGGAAATTTCATGTCAGTGGACCATCTAGGCTATGGCATGGTCCCTGTTCACTACTTTTTGTCAGCTCTATAGGAAAAGAGAGCAGAAAGATGGCAAGGAAAAGCATGTGGGAAAGTTCCAAGACATGGACAAACCAGCTGTAATTATTGGAGAGATTGACTGAGGTCTTAAAGAGAAACCTGAGTTCTGCATTGGAACAATAAGAAAGATGTCCTGAGGGGAAGACCCCATCCAATGAAGCCTCAAACTTGTGAAAAACAGAAATTCATTTGAAAGAAGAGACCTAATGCCACTGAAGGGGTTCCCAGCTCAAAAACAACTGCCTAGGGAAGTATTTCCCCTGGTTCAACCACCAAGGTTCAGATGTCATTACCACTAGGGTAGAATGGGGCCAGTCTACATCTTGCATTGGCAGCAGAACCTGGCAGCACTGCCTACCTGGTGCTGGTTTTACAGGCATGCAAAGTGCAGAAGATACGGGATCATGAAGGCATGTACCAAGGTTCTGCAAAGTCACTAAGGCCAGGCAATGTGTGGCAGGGTCACATTCCCTGTAAGTAGGCCATTATATGAAGCTATGAAGATGAAACCTAAGTTGCAATGGGAACCCCAGGATATTGGAGATGTCAGGACTAAGGAATGTGAGTGGAGCTAGCCCAACAGAGACCCAACCTATGCTGAAGGCAGTGGAACTCAATGGGCAGGGCTGTCCAAGTTTGTTGGAATACATACAATTTTACCAAGAGTCCCAGATGCTGGCCATGGAGCTGTAGGGTTGGTGTTTGCCCTACTGGGTTTTGATCTTTGTAGCCGTTTGAATAAGAGGCATTCCCCATAAGCTCACGTATCTGAATAGTCAGTTGGTGGCACTATTTGGGGACAGTCATGGAACTTTTAGGAGGTGTGGCCTAGTTGGAGGAAGCACATCATTGGGGACAGACTTTTAGAGTTCAGAGCCTTGCCTTCCAGTTTAGTTTTCTCTGCTTCCTGCAAGTGGTTCAAGATGTAAGCTCTCAGTTTTCTGCTCTGGCTGCCTCTGCCACCATGCCTCCCCACCATGATAGGCTCTTATTCCTCTGGGACTATAAGCCGAAATACTCTTCTATAAGTTCTCTTGGCCATGGTGTTTTATCACAACAGTGGGAAAGTAACTAATACAGTCTTTCTTTACTATCCTTCCATTCCTCCCTCTTGGAATAGGAGTGTTTACTCTGTGCCACTGTATATTAGAAATATGTAACTTTTTATTTTATAGGGGCTCACAGTTAAGAGTCTGCCTAAGTTTCAGAAAAAAACTATGGATTTTTTAATAGTGCTGACACTCTTAAAAACTATGGGGACTTTTTCTGGGCATAGTGACCCACACCTTTAATCCCAGCACTTGGGAGCAGAGGTAGGTGTATCTCTGTGAGATCAAGGCCAGCCTGGTCTACATAGTGAATTCCAGGCCAGTTGAGGTTACAGGGAGATCCTATATCAAAAAACAAAATAAAACAAAACAAGATTATGGGGACTTTGAAGTTGGAATGAGTGCATTTTGCATTATGAGAAGGTCATGAGCCTATGTGGGCCAGGGGTGGAATTAAGTTATGATTATTTATTTGTGTGTATGTTGTGCATATGTATGTGTGTGTGAGGGTATACATGTGTCATGTCATAGAAGGTCTGAGGCCAACCTCAGGTGTCAGTCCTTGACTTCCACCTTGTGTGAGACACAATTTCTCTTGATTACTGCTGCACATGCCAGCCTAGCTAGCCTGCAAGCTTCTAGTGATTCTCCTGTCTCTGTCTCCCATTTCCCCCTAGGGGCATGCTGGGATGACAGATGTGTGCACTACTATGTCTAGAAAGGTAGATTCTGGGTATCTAAGCTGAGATACTCATGGTTCCACTGAAGAATCCCCTTTATGATGTAAAGCAACATGTTTGAATATCAAGTTGACAGGGGGTTAGGCTTGTGATAGATAATCATCACTGCCAACTGGACAGGATTTACAATCACCAAGAAGACACATTCTGGGCAAAGCGTTTCCACAGAGATTGAACTGAAGGGGAAGACCCACCCTGAATGAGAGCAGCACCATTCATCCCATGGGCTAGGGTCCCAAACTGAATAAAAAGGGAAAAAAGGAGAAAGTGAGCTAAGTACCAGCACTCATCTCTCTTCTTCCTAATGATGTCATGTGATCAGCCACCTTATGTCCTGGCCACTATGCCTTCCCAACCATGACACCCTGAAACTGTTAACAAAACAAAACCTCCTTTGCTTAAGCTCCTTTTGTCAAGTATTTTCTCACAGTAATGAGAAAAGTAGCACAATTTTCCCATGCACATACGCTTGTTTGAGAGTATTACTGTTTTCTTTGGAAACCTGTCTTACCTGAGGAGGAAACTTCTTCACCTCTTTTCATTCCTAGTCTTCTGTAAATTTCCCTCTCTGGATCAACATAGATTTCATGAGAATATCCAGTCAGTTTGCAGAAAGGCTAAAAAGAGAGTAACTGGAATTTTTAAAGAACAAATAAAGGAAAAATAGTGATAATCTAGTGTCAGTCAATTGGGCTTATTATACTCAGCTAGTCCCCATGATTTTGCTGTTTTATATTTGAAACAGATGTAACATGGTTGTGCCTCAGTCTGCTAGACAGTTACCTCAATATGATGGTAAGATGCCTGTCCAATCACTATAAGGGTGACATCTGCTTCCTTTAGAAGAAAAAAAGGATATTACATATTATTAGAAATTATGTCTTAAACAACTTCCCCTAATGCAATTCTTTCATTTCATTCTAATGCCACCTATAGGACTCTAGAAGAATAGAAAACAGCAAAATCATGACTAGAAGGAAATAAATGCATGCTAAAATATTTTATTAATCAGATGATTGGTTTTTGCTATGTAAGAATTTCAAGGCTTAAGCATAAGACCTACAACTGCAAAACTATTAGAAGAAAACATAGGGGGACTGTTATTCAGCACTAGTTTGGATAATGAATTGGCTCAGCGAGTAAGGTGTGTGCCACCAAGCCTGATGACTTCAGTTTTATCCCAAGAATCCACACGGTGGAAGGAAAGACATGACTCCTGAAAGCTCTCACCCTCCACACATGAGCTGTGGCTGGCATGCATGCCCCTCAACAAAACAAACAAACAAATAAACAAACAAATAAAAAACAGAACAACAAAAACAAAAATATACAAAGCTTGCATTGAAGTAAAAAGCTTCTGTAAAGGAAACAACAGAGAAAAGCCACTGAGTGTATTAGAAGAGAATACATGCAAACTGCGCCATCTGTTAAGAAACTTAAATCCATAAAATGTAAGGAACTCAAATAGAGCAAGAAAACAAATAATCTAGCTTAAAAACTGGATAAAAGTGGGCTAGGGGTCAGTGGTTGTTTAACATGCCCTAGGGCATAGATTTGATCCCCAGTACTGAAAACCAAGGAAAAAAAAACTTGAATAGACATTTCTCAAAAGACAGGAGATATACAAATGGCCAATAGCTATATGAAAATAAGCCAGACTCAGACAAACATGGCATGCTTTCTCTCATGTGCAGAATCTATCTGTCTGTCTGTCTACCTACCTACCTACCTACCATCTATCTATCAATCAATCAGTCATCTAGGACATGAAGGTAGAAAGCGGACTGAGAGGGGAGGAAGAGGTCTAGAGGGAGGAGGGAATGAGAGGGCAATGAAATATGACTACATGTATCAAGAGAGTGGAAGAGAGGACCATTGTGGGAAGGTGACCCTCAAGGAGGGGTAGTTATAAGGAGGGGCAAGTAAGACCAAAGTACAATTATATATATGTATGGATGAAAAATCACAATGAAACCCGTTTCTTGGTATGCTAACCAAAAAGTTAATTAAAAAGAATAATGAATTTTATGAGATGAATGTCAATATTAATGTTACTATTAACAGTAGTACCAATAATGTTATTATCAATATTATTAACAACGTTAGCTTGATGTAATCATTCTACAATGTAACCTAAAAAGTTTATAAAGGAAAGGAATAAAAGAGCAGATGGAAGTTAATTTTTTTCTCACACCCTAACTGATAAAAGTGTGTCCTAATTGTAAAATCAGTTGATATTTGTTTTACAAATGTCCAGTGTCTTCACTCACAAAGCTCATCTGGGGCCAAAACTATCCATTTCTGAAGAAAAACACAGGGGAGTAAGGTGTGGAACTTGCTGTTTATTAACAAATACAAATCAGCACCTTTGAGATATGTTATTTTCTTGTAAGGAACAACTGTTTGGGGTACGTAACACAATAAAGGGTCGAAAAAAATCAGGTACTTCCAGTTTGTGTTTTTTGATATTCTCATGCAACGTTTGAACACGTCAGGTTACCAGGCAACATAAAAATTATGATGGTTAAGAGCTGGGCATGGTGGCACCCGCCTTTAATCCCAGCACTCAAGAGGCAGAAATAAGGCAAGGAAATCTCTGAGTTCGAGGATAGCCTGGTCTACATGGCCAGTTCCAAACCACCCAGAACTACATAGTGAGACTATGTATGATGGTTATTACGTTCACAGGGAGGGAGCAACAAACGCAGGACAGAAATAAACCTGTAATGAATGGGTCTCCCTCCTCGAGCTGAAGAGATGTGCGAGGAGGCTACCCAGCCACATCTCGCCCACAAGGCTGCTCTGCAGCAGGACACTGCCGCCCACTCAGGAAACTTACTTACTTGGAGGAAACTCTTGGGGATTTTGGCCAGATCTTCGACATATTCTTTGCAGACGTAACACAGGAAATGCTGAAATTCAACACACCAAAGGGGCAAGTTAGCAACGCAGCACCCTTGGGATCCAGAGGGCCTGGGTCCTGAGCAGGAGCGCCAGGGGGTGTCACAGTCCCTCTGCGCGCTCAGGTCGGGCCGGGCAGGCCTCGCTCGGAGGCTGTTTTCCTTCTCCGGGTCCCGAGGCCTCTCCGGGCTCGGAGGGAAGGCCAGGCCACGCCAGGCCGAGGCTGTGCAGCGGTCCCCGGCCTTGCACCCCGCGAGTCCTCACTCCGGCCGCCCCGCCGCCCGCGCTCACCCGCACGAATACCACCACAGCCCGCCGCTCACGGAACAGCGCGCCGAATGCCACCCGCCGGCCCGACACGTCCAGCACGGGCAGCTCGGCCACGGCGGCCTCCAGGGGCTGCCCGCGCTCCACAGCCGCCGCCGCCGCGGTCAGGACCGGGGCGGCGCAGCTGCTGACCTGCCGGGTGACGGGAGCGGCCATAGCAGCGTGGCTACCGGGGCGCATGTCTACGGCGACCGGCCAAGAGCCCCGGGGAGGCGGAGCCAAGCGAGGCGGGGCAGAGTCGCAGGAGGCGGAGATGAAGATGAATGTGGTGTGGCGGAGCAGCAGGATGCGGAGCTGGGCCGGATGGGGCGGGGCGGAGCCGCAGGGGCCTCCTGGGTGGGATGGCCCGGAGCTGCTGGAGGCGGGTTCACGGTGACTCCCTTCGGGGCTTGAGGGTGGAGGATTGGTGGACGAGGTTGGGGAACGTTTTCTCCGCGACACACGGAGCCGGTGGGAGCGGGGCTGTGCTGGGTTTCCTCAGGCAGTAGCCCAGGCGCGCAGTTTGAGTGATGAGGCGTAAGACGCTGCCATGGGGAGGTGAGCTGGGTGAGTCCCTGTTTCTACTCGGTTGCGTTTGCTATCAAACTTCCAAAGATTGGCGCTCCGGGTTTTCGGGCTCAGTTGCTCAGGGTAGGAAGTAGGATGTCAGCCTAGGCCTTACTGAAGAAGAAAGCAGCCGGTTCCCCATAACTGCTTGGACTAATGCTAACCTTCCTAATGACCGAGCAAATATAAACGAATTTCCCACGCAGGACAGCTATACTTATGACCCAATAGATTGTTTTCCCTTCAATTCTTTTATGTATTTGGCAGTGCCTTCCGAGTTCTGGAACTATAGGTGTGCACCACCGTGCTGGGAATGCAACTCAGGTCTTCGTGAATGCTAAGTAAGCACTTTACTAATTGAGCTACATACGCATCTCACTTCCGCCTAGTTTTGGCTTTCCCCACTCCCCACATTAGAGTTCAATTAAAAACTTTTTGCCTTTTTGAGAAAGGGCCTCCCTGTAGGCCCATCTGGCCTGGAACTCGCTATGGAGACCAGACATACCTCAATCTCACAGACAGTCGTTTGCCTCTGCCTCCGGAGTACTAGGATTAAAGGTTTGAGCACCATGCCTGGCTTCAATTAAAAAACATTTTATCATGAAAAAATTTTAAGACATCAAAAAGATGAAAACATTTTTTTTACAATGAATGTGCCATTCAGTTTTACTCCACCAGGTTATCCACATGTGGCATTGATGAGTGCCACATTTTTCACGCCCATCTACACCCGTGTGAAAACTTCAAACATCTTCATCCATGAGAAAGTTGTCATTTCTATTTTTTATTCTTTCTTGGTGGTGCTGGGGATGGATTCCAGGGCTTTGCACATTAGGCAAGAACTCTACTACCGGACAACATCCCCAGTTCCTATGATGTCTATTTTAGAAGCACACTTCAGGAATTCATGACTTACCTTCAAAACGTTTCTAGCCAAGGTGAGTGTGAAAGATGGCTGGAGCCAAGAGGATGATGAAGTTAGATGACCTAGCATCCGGTTACAGAAGTCTGCTGTGCACCACCTCAAAATTCTCTCAAGGCAGGAGTGCAACCATTGTCCTGGGTGTGGAGGTGTCTTTGCTGGAGCTTCTCAAGATTGGTGACTGTGTTTCCAAGGTTTCCAGAGCTGTACCAGATAGCATTTGGCTTCTTTAGTCTTCATGAGTTCACTCACCCTTGTAGTGGATTGAGGGTGCAGAAAATGTATAGCAGTTTTCTAGTTGAAGCCCTTAAGGGGCGGAGTACTAGTTCAGCATCTGTGACCATTCTGACTGCTGCCACTTGCAGGAGAGATCCATCCTACATCCCCTTTTATTGTTATTATTTTAAAGTTCTGTGTGTGTGTGTGTGTGTTCACATGAGTGTATGTGCCTGCTGAGGCCAGAGATGTCAGATCTCCTGGAGCTGAATTTACAGAAGACTGTGAGTTGCCTGACACATAGGTGCTGGGAACCCAACTTGGGTCCTCTGCAAAGTCAGTATGTGCTCTTAACCTCTGAGCTATCTCTCCAGCCTGTGCTTTAATTTAAAAAAAAAAAAAATTTGTGGAGGGCACATACACACATGCCAGCACATGTGTAGAAGTCAGAAAACAATGTGTGGGAGTCAGTCATCTCCTTCCACCATGTGGGGTTTAGGGATTGAACTTAGGTCATCAGGCTTGAAAGCAAGTGCCTTTACCCATTGAGCCATCTCCTCAGTCCATTCACTGGCTTTTGTGTAGCTGTTTGTGTGTGTGCATGTGTGTGTGGAGGCCAGAGGTCAATGTCCGGTATCTTCCTCTATTACTCTGTCTTATTATTTTTATTATTTATTACTTTTATGTGTATGCATGTATTGCCTGCATGTAGGTAAGCACACCCATGTCATTCAGTGCCCACGGAGGACAGAAGAGGGCATCAGATCCCCTGGAACTAGAGTTACAGACGGCTGTTAGCCACCATGTGGGTGCTGGGATTTGAACATGGGTCTTATGCAAGAGCAGCCAGTGCTCTTAAACTTTGAGTCACATACTCCTTGATTTTTGTCTTTTTGAAGCAGGGTCTCCCTGTAGCCCCAGCTGTCCTGGAACTCACTATGTAGACCAGGCTGGCCTTGAACACACAGAGATCCACCTGGCTCTGCCTCCCAAGTGCTGGGATTACAGGCATGCGCCACCACACCTGGCTTCTGTCTTACTTTTTAAGATATGGTCTCTCACTGAGCTTGAAGCTCACTGATTTGGATAGAAGAACTGGCCAACTAGTTCCAGGGATCCAGTCTCTATTGCCCTGGCACTAGGATTATGAACATGGGTCACCATGCCTGCTTTTTACATGTGTTCTGGGGAATCCAAACACAGGTCCTAATGCTTTTATGGCAAGTATTTTACCAAGTGACAGCCATCCCCAGCCCATAGATGTATGCTCCCATTGTGCTCCCAGTGTGAGAAACCCAGCAGCAGCTTCAGAAAAGCACAGATTTGTTTCTAAATTAAGATACAATTTCTGAATTTGAGATCTTCCAAGGTGGCCTGGACTCCACAGCAAACTCACAGGGCATACTATTTTACATATTTAAGGAAAATGGTCATCTGTCTGAAATTGTGAGCCGGAAATAGTTCACTTTCCATGTTAGATCGCTGTATGTCTTTAGATGATGTCCTATCTCCACAAAGTTGGGTTTTCAACAGTTGAGATAAAAAGCCATAGCTATAAGCAGGGCGTGGTGGTGCACACCTTTAATCCCAGCACTCAGGAGGCAGAGGCAGATGGATCTATGTGAGTTCAAGGCCAGCCTGGTCTACATAGTGAGTTCCAGGACAGCTGAGGCTACAGGGAGACCCTGTCTCAAAAAGACCAAAAAA